GAAGAGAAGTCTCGGAACTTCTGGTTGGAGATGGTCTTGATGGGGGAGGTGTACACGGCGCGGGTGCAGTGGCGCGCGGCCAGCGCAAACGCATACTCCGCGGCCACCGTCTTGCCCGCAGACGTGTGGGCCGCCACAAACACGGAGCGGCCCTGGCGGGAGGGGGAGGCGGGGGGCGGCGCAGGGCAGCAGGGCAGGGCAGGGCGGGGGTGGCGTGTCGGGGTTGGTGTTTGCGGCGCTGGTGAGAGGCCCCGCGGGGCGGGATGCATCGATGGATGGGCAGGCGCAGCCACACCGGCGCGGTGCCAGGTCAGCCATGCAGCTCAAGCAGCGCTGGGCCCCAGCCTGCCCGCTGGCCCCAGCGTGCCCGCAGCCAGCCCGGGCCAGGCGAGGTCAGTGCCAGGTCAGCGCCAGCTCAGCGCCAGCTCAGCTCACCCCCTCCATGTGCAGGATCGCCTCCTTCTGGAACACATCCAGCTCAAAGGGCCAGCTCTTGGCCAGCCCCGCCCGGGCCCGCTCCCACTGCTTGGCCAGGCCGGGGATGTGGCCCCTGCGGCAGGTGCGGGAGGGGCGCGGAGGGGTGCGTGCGCGTGTGGATCCGCACGGTGGTGGGAGGTGCGTGGCGGGGGGACTGCCACAAGCCATAAGCCACAAGCCACAAGCCAGGAACAGGCAGGGCGCGGCCGCCGCTCAGAAACAGGCCAAGAGCTGCGGCCAGGGCAGGGCATCTCGGACCCAGCAGCGGCGCCCCACCCAGGGCCCGGCCCCAGCCCCCGGCGGCAGCCTCACTTGAGCGCCCATTCGTGGTCCCCTCGCTGCCGCTTGATGGGTCGAGAGCCCAGGGTGGCAAAGCCGCCGCCGCCGGCCGCGGCGGGCGTGCGCCGCGCCCAGTCTGCCGCCGCCGCCTCCGCCCCCAGCACCGCCGCCACTGCGTCGCCCTCTGCGCCAGGCAGGCAGGCAGGCAGGCAGGCAAGGGAGCGCAGGGCTCGATGATGGCGCCGCAGACCAGCGCCGGAGGGAGGCCAGGCCCTGCCGCCGCCTTGCCAGCGGTCCTGCATGCTCCCATCCCGCAGCCGCGTGCAGGGCACAAGTAGCAGCGGCAGTAGGCAAGCGGACAATGCAGCAGCAGGCATGGGCAGCAGCATCAGCGAACAAGGCAGCAGCCTCACCCACGCCGCCGGGCAGCTGGTCCCCGCTGGGCAGCCCCAGCAGAGGGTCAGCTGCGGCCGCTGCTGGCAGGGGCCCCGCCGCCGCGCCTGCCGCCGCCGCCACCTCCGCCACCTCCTCCTCCTCTTCCTCCTCAGCAGGCGGCGCATCCCAGTCCTCGTCGCCGCCTGCCGCCGCGCCCTCGGCACCGGCGCCGCCATCCTCCAGCAGCCATACGCCGCTGCACGGAAGGCACGGCAGGGCAGCGTGGCAGGCAGGGAGAGCCCAGGTCAGCAGGAGACGGCCGCAGCATGCATCTGCCGCACGGACAGCACGACGCTGCATGTGTGGCATGTACTGCCAGCTGTACTGCAAGCTGTACTGCCAACCCAGCTACCCACCTGAACAGGTCCTCCAGAGACACCTTCTGCTGCTGCTGCCGCGCGCCTGCCGCCTCTGCCGCCTCCGCCGCCTGCTGCTCTGCCGCCTGCAGCGCAGCCACCTCCTCGGCCGCCGCCGCCACCGCCTCGGCCTCCGCCGCATCGGCAGCCCAGCCGCCAAAGAGGCCGCGCGGCATGCCGGGAGGCACGGCTTTGAGCAGCTCCGGCTGCCCCCGTTCCAGCTCCGCCAGCCATGCGCCGCTGGCTGCCTCCTCTGCGGCCGCCGCCGCCGCGGAGTTGCCGCCTGCGTCCCAGGCGGCGCCGCCTGCAGCCAGCCAGAAGAATCCAGATCAATCGGTGAGTAAAGCAGCAGCAGCAGCGGCAGGTCGGGACCTGAACTCAAAACTGTTTGCTCATGAGTGCGGACAGTGTCGAACTGCCGGCCTGCCGGCACAGGTGGGGCTGCAGCAGGCGGTACCAGCGGCGCTGAGCTGACCTGGCGTGAAGGGCATGCTGCCGATGCGGCCCCGCACAAACTCCCGCGTGCCCTGCCGCGCCGCCATGGGCCGCCGCGCCAGCGCCAGCCTGTCGGCGGAGTCCTGCGGCACAGCGGCAGCAGGGGTGAGCGGGCAGCACGCGTGCAGAGGGTGAGCAGAGGGGCGAATGGGGAGGATGGCACGGCAAGGTGGCACGGCAGGCCTGGTCACATGCAGACGACGCAACGGTGAGCAGTTGGAGTCAGGGTTTAGGGTTAAAGTGAGGCCTGCACAAGGTACGGCGGCTGGGGCCAGGTGCCCCTCACCTCCTCCATGTCCAGCGCAACCTCCCGGAACCCCAGCGCCGCCGCCGCCGCCTGCCCCTCCCCCTCCTCGTCGCCGCCCGCCAGGCTGTCTGGCAGCAGCGGCTCCACCGCCGACCGCGGCTGGCTGGGGTCGGTCCAGAGGGTGGGGCGCACGTAGCGCGGCTGCCAGCTCAGCCCTGCGGGAAGCAAGGCGCGACGCGCAGCGTGGCGCCGGCAGTCGTGTGAGGTGTGCGGCATGAACCTCTGCTGGCTGTGCTGCCCACCGCAGTGTGTGCCGAACAACCGTCGAGCCTAAGCCAGGGTGGTAGAGTGCCTGCACCAGTGGGCCGCCACTGGCCGCCGCCGCCACGCACCGCTCACGGCGACGTCTGCTGCTGCGGTGCCCTCCAGCCGCAGCGTCAGCAGGGAGTCTCGCAGCCATGCCGCGGTGTCTTCACCAGTGTAGGTGAGCGGGGGTAGGCCCTGCATAGCCAGGCAGGCAGGAGGGGAGGTCGGTGCCATAGCCGAAGATCGCTCGGAAGCGATCTCAGAATTGGGGGAGATGCGTCGATCGCAATCCGACCTGCCGCAGCTCCTGGAGGTCCGCCTGATACAGCTTGCCGTCAGCAATGCCGACTTGGGCAGCCCCGGAGGGCTCCATGATACCGTGCAGGCAGTGTGAATTGCGATGCTACCGATCAAAGATGGTGGGAGAGTGGCCAGCGCATCCCCCCGCCAGCGGGGCCGCCAGAGTGGCGGGTGGCGAGGTGTCCGCTGGCGTTTGCTGCTGCTCTGGAGGCTGAAGTGATCAAATGCATCTCCATGGGATGCGAAGAAAGAACATTACACAATACAAAAAACTTCATCACGACGGCGCTGCGGCTGCTGCTCCCAGCTGCCCTCCCTCCTCCTGCCGCTGCTGCTCCTGCCACTCTACCAGCAGCGGCTCCACATCCAGCAGCCGCGTGCCGCACAGCTTGTTGGCTGCCACCGCCTCCTCCGCCTCCGCCAGCCCCGCCTCCTGCACAGGTGACCGCCAGAAGCTCAACACACATGCTGCGGGCTATGCGCCGGCATCGACCCAGGCCGTTGGTGCGGAACCACCCGAGCGGTATCAGGCCCCCGCACCTGCACCACAAAGCCGGCGGCCTCGACGGCGCCGCACAGCCGCTCCACCAGCGTGCGGCGGCAGGGCAGCAGGTGGCGTAGCGGCACGATAAAGTCGAGGTGGCCGCGGTCCTGCGGCAGTGGCGCAGCAGCGGCAGCAGCAGCAAACATGTGTGATTCGCTCATAAGTCGGCAGGCGGTAAGAGGCAGCCGGCATGCGAGGATAGCAGCATGACGGGTCAGCCAGGGGGCTGCCCAGCTCCACGGCCCCGCAGCCGGCAAGCAGCCGCACAAGCAAGCGGCGGTACCAGCAGCACGGCGGCGGTACGGCGGCAGCTCGCCTGCCGGTACTCTGGCTGCTTGGAGGGCTGGCGCAGCAGCGCCATTCGCTCCCGCTGGAAGTCCCAGAGCAGGGAGGTGTGGTGCACCCACCTGCGGTGTGGTGCACCCGCAGCGGCGGCGGCGGCGGCGGCAGCGTTGCACACGGCAGGTGTTGGCTGGCAACGGCAGGTGGCTGCCAACAGCCGTGGGCCGGGTGTGATGATGCCTGCTGCAGGGAGCGCAGCGGCAGGCGGCCCCCAGCACCTGTCCTTGGTGATTGCCTGCGCGTTGCCGCCAAACTTCCGGTCCCCGAAGCAATAGTCTGCAGGCAGGGGCCGGCCAGGGAGGCGCAGGCAAGGGAAGGGAAGCAGCCGGGCATGTTGCGGCCAGGCGCTCCAGCCGTCGGCGCACCAGGCAGGCGGCGGGAGGCTGCCTGGGCAACCGCAATTGAGCGCGAACGGCGAGGCTGTGGAGCCCCCGGCGCTAGCACAGCGGCGGCTGCGGCGGCTTGCCATTCTCCCGCAGCCGGAAGGCGCCGTGCTGCCCAAACACCGTGCGGTACAGGTGTTCGGTGTACTGCAGACACAGCAGGACCGTACCGCATCGGGGGGCCGTCCATTGGGAGGAGGGCGGGCTGCCCCTGTGCAGGAGGGGCGCTCTACGGCGGCCTTGGCAGGCAGCCATGGCGGGCGGCGGGCGGCGAGCGCAGGCCCCCGCCCTCAGCTGCCTGCCGGCCCGCACGCCACCCCACCCCACCTGCATGACTGGGCGAGGGTAGGGCTCCACCCCCGGCAGGCTCTGGTGCTGCATGATGAGCGCTGTGAAGATTGTGTCTCCATCCACAACCACTGCACTCAGCAGGAGGAGTTCAGGCGAGGGTGCTGAGCGGACAGGCGGGCTGGGGCAGGTGCAGGAAGGGATGCAGACTGGTGCACCGCCGCATCCCAAGGGAGACGACAGCCATAGCCGCAGCAGCAGCAGAGGGCAGCAGTAGCTCTGGAGCGCGAGAGCAGCGGCAGCGGCGGCGCGGTGGGCCCGGCGGCGGCAGGCCGGCGCCGTGCGTGCCTGTGCCGCCGCCGGTGAAGCGCCGGATGAGCGGCACGCGCCGCGCCGCCGCCGCCGCCAGGTGCACCAACTCATGAGCCTTGCTGCGCAGCAGGGGTCGGGGGTGGCAGGGGGAGCGCGGCAGCGTCGCCACGGGCACCGCTGGCGGCAGCTGGCCCCAGAGATGAGGAGCACCCTGTGGGAGCACCCCAGCAGTCGAAGCATACTGCAGCAGTTCAAACACACTGCAGGAGCTGCGCCGCGGGCGGCGCCCACCCGCTGACGCCCAGCACCACTGAAGGCTGCGGCGTGCCGTCGTTGATCACAAACCAGTTGTGGGTGGTGGCCCTGCAGAGCAGCCGGCCAGCCAGCAGGCGGCAGGGCACGGCGCCCTTTACTGCGGCTGTGGCCAGCTGCCAGGCCGCCATGCCAGCCAGACGGAGCACTGGCACCAGCCTCGCCAGCGGCCCAGCAGCTGGCCGCTTGCCTGAGCAGCGCCTCCTCTATCTGCAGCTGCTGGAGTATGGAGAAGCCGCTGAGGCGCAGCAGCCGCACAACTGTGCCTGGTGGCGGCAGCGAGCCCGCTGCCGCCGCCGCCGCCGCCGCCATGACGCACGGCTGCGCAGCGCGGCGACTGTTCTATACGCCTGCCGTTTCACAGCCGATGCAGCTTTGCGCCCTGGGGTCAGTCGGGGGCAGGTCTGCGGGCTCAGGGTTGCCGCGAGGAGTTTTCCCGGCTCGCTGTGACTGCCCCACCGATCAAGAGGGTATGCGACTCAGCATTAATGTTAATAGGAAGCGATGCGCGGCTGCTATTGTGCGGCAGTGGTGCGCAGCAGTCTCAGCAGGCGCCGCTCCTGCCTTGACCTTGAATGGTTTTGAACAACTGTTCACAGCATGCACTATAAAGGATGTATGTATGCTTGGTTTTCACCATACCTGGTGAAAATCAAGCATACATACAACGGTGCAGTGATTGCGAGAAAAGCAAATAGAACATGGCGGGCGCACACTACGGCTGCGCAGAGCACAGCGCGCTCGCTGCGTGGCGCGCTCGCTCTGCCGCAGCTGCTGCCCAGCGATGCAGGCAGCCGCCTCCCGACTTGAAGTACCACGGATGCTGATTGTCGACCTCGTGTGGGCACCTCCTGCGTAGCGCCACCCTGGCCACGGCCGCTGCCCAGTTTGGGTCTCCACCCAAATGAGCTTCCTGCCCCCCGTCTCTTCCCCCGCCGCCTGCCGAGCCTGCTGAGCTACACCACGTCCAGCTCATCAAAGCCGTACTTCTTGCCAAACTCCATCGGATCGCTCCTGTACAGCTCCAGCCTGGCGGCAGCCTCCTTTCACCTCGCCTGCGCCCGGCCTAGCGCCCAGGCGGCGCCTGCAGTGGCGCCCCGCAGCAGCAGAGTGAAGCAGATACCAAGCGCCCTGGCGGCCTGCCGGCATGCCCCACTCCCTGCAAGGGAGCAGACTAGCGCTCCACCCCACCCACCTGTGGCCTCGGCGGCAGCAAATGCCTTGAGGGCCTGCACCTCGTCCGCCTCCAGGCGCGCCAGCCTCGAGCTGTGCAGCTGCGCCCGCTCCCGCTCGGCCCGCTGCCGGGCAAGCTCCTGCTCGGCCTGCTGCCGGGCGTGCTCCTGGTCCTGCTGAGCCTGCTGGGCGGCCGTCAGCATGGCACGCTGGCAGAAGGCTTGCGGGTCGGCCTCCATGCAGCTGCTCACCACTGTGACAGCCCCTCCAGTGGTCTCCGCCACTCCCATAAAGAGGACGAACGTGCCAATACTCAGAACCACGTTAAGGAGAACTGCCCACTTCCCCACATTGTCCACATATGGCGCGTGGCAGGTTTGTGGTTTCCGGTCGTCAGCACACCTGCACAAACAGGGGGGCGGACAGGGCTGTGTCAGGCTGGCAGGGCCATGGTGGAACAGCAGAACAGAACATCATGGCAAGAGTGACGGCGCGCAGCCAAGCATGCAGGCGTGGTAAGCGGCCAGCACTTACACGGCGCCGTGATGATCTCGGGCAGCGTCGTCCTGTTTTCTAAGTTCGAAAAGCAGGATGACCCCTGTAGCCACAAAGCAGACAGCAAAGGCTGCAGTCCACCACTTCAGCAGCATGGCGTTGCTGCTGTGGCGGCGAACGCGGCTGTGGCTGGCGGCCGCTACGGCGGCGATGCTGGCCATTGCGCCCGTCAGGGTGTCGCGCCAGAGTAGGAGCAGAATCCCGTTCCAAATGAGGAGGGTGATGATGAGCCCGTCAGCGACGAACCATAATTCGCGGACCATCTTGTAGAGAGCCGCCTGCTCTGCCGGCTGCTGCGGCAGCAATGCAGGGTTGGTGATGGGCGGCAGGGGGGCCCACCAGGAGCGGCGCGGCAGGGCCGGTGCTGCCGGCGGCGGCTCTCACACTTCGGATGGCCGCCTCGCGCTCTGCAGCTGCCCCGTCCTGGGCTGCTGATGGCTGCGCAAGCTCTGCAGGGGCGGGTGCATATGCAGGGGTTGGTGGTGAGGGCGAATGGTGGCAGCGAGGCCCAAGTCTCTGAGAGGGTGGAGGCTGCCGGGATGCCCACTTCCATTTCGGGAGCTCTGCCACGTGCCTGAGTGCTCAGAGTCCTCGCCGACTGGCAGGGAAGCGTAGCTCTGCCGCCCAGCCTGCCAGGTCATGGCGCACGCAAGAGGGACAGCTGCTGCGGCGGGATCTAGCTCCAATGGGGCTTGGAAGGCCGCGGAATGGAGCGGAGTTCTTTCGAGCCCTGAGCGGCAGGCGAGCCGCAAAGCCCCCTGAGCAACTGTGGGGCAGGCCGGGGCAAAATGGCTGGTGCCCCTGCCAGTACCTCCTCTGCTCTGTTTCCAGAGCTTTTCGTGGAGCAGGAGACCACAATAGGTGGAGAACTGAAGCTGGTTGGCTGTGCCTTTCCCCTTCCCGCCCTCCGCCGCTCATGACACCTTGCACAGCGCCAGCGAGACGGCGGCAGACCACACAACTCCAAGCATGAAATTCACACGCTCCGGGAGACAGCACCGCGGCTCGACGCTCTGGTGGCGCTTCACGGCCACCTTAAGGCTTGGCCGCCACAAAGCAGTGCAGGTGCTGCCTGCGCCCCACGCCAAACAGCCCATACGAGTCGGGCAGCGCCTGGCCCTGCCTGCCGCCGGCAGCTGCCTGCCTGGTGCACCGCCGCCGCCGCGGCGCCCGCTGCTGCTCCTCTTCGCGCTGCTCCGCCGCCGCTGCCGCCCGCCGCTTGCTGCCTGCTGCCGTCGCCGCTGTCGCCGCCGCCGCGCTGTCCCCCTGCTGCTGCGGCCCCGCCGCCGGCAGCCCCCCATCTCCCTCCCCCTCTTCCGCCCGCCTGTGCCGTGCCTCGTATTCCTCCCGCCGCCCCTCCCACACTGTCGGCCAGTACGCGCTCCTGCACAGGGGTGCACCCCACCCCCGCCAGTGAGTATGCCAGCTCCTCGGCTTCCCCACTCCCCCACCCCAAGCTGCTGCCGCCTGCAGGCGCTGCAAGGCCTGCCGCCCGCCCGGCCCCCGGCACCAGCCCCGCCCCAGCCGCCGGCGCTGCCACCGGTGCAGCGGGCCGGCTGCCGCCCAGCTCCCCTCACCCAGCCGCCCGCGCACCGCACCGCACCGCGCCGCACCGGTACGGCCGGCGCAGCGCCGCGGCCCCGCCCTGCTGCAGGTTGTCTGGCGGGTGCAGCCAGTAGTTGAGTGCGGCGTGTGTGGGGTAGGCGGGCGCGCTGAAGGAGGTCACCTCGTGGAACCAGCCTGCAGGGTTCGCTTTTCAATAGAGCTCTTGTTGGGCAGTGCTGTTGGAGGGGCAAGCACAGAGGGGTACGGCGCCCGGGTGGGTAGGGGACCCAGCAGAGGGTGCTCGCGCTCGCTGGGAAGGGGCGGGCGTGTGCCCGGGGACGCGGCGAGCACGGTGCCGCAGGCATGCACGCTGCCGGCGGCGGCGGCAGGCTGCTACCAGCAGGGGGGGTGGGTGGGCGGCGCCTTAGGGCACCCCAGCAGCCCCAAGAGCGAGGAGCGAGGAGCGGGACAGGCAGCACGCCCGCAGCGCCCACCCCACCCCAGCCACCCCACACCCGCCTGGCCCACCTGCGGGCAGGTAGAGCATTTGCCCCGCCGCCACCTCGCACACCACCGCCGCCTCCTTGCCCTGGCGAAGCGGGGACGAGGGAACAGGGCAGGCACAGCGTGTGCATGTGTGCATGCGTGCATGCGTGTCGCCGGGCGGCAAGAGTTCAATGGTGGCCGCAGGGCGGGCAGCGGGGGGCGCTGTCACCGCGAGCAGGCACGCAGGCAGGCTGCACTGGCGGCGCCTGGCGGCAGGCAGCCGCTCCCCAGCCACCACCGCGGGGCAGGGCGCCCCAGGCGTGGAGTGCCCGCCTCACCGGGAAGCGTGGGAAGCTGCGGCGCAGCTGGTCGTCAGGCAGTGCCAGGTCCACCCGGCTGAAGCTTTCGGGGTCGCCGGCGGCTGCAGTGACACACGGGAGGGCGCCCGGCGCGGGTGGGGCCAGGCGCAGGCGCGCGTCGCGCGCCGAGCTGCAGACGAGGTGCCTGCCTCCTGCCTGTGCCGGACCTTCGCACAGCTGTGTGCGCACAGCGAAGGGGCCGCCGGGGGCAGCGCCAGCGTCGGCCACGCACCTGCGGGCGCGGGCGGCGGCGCCGCCGCCGGCTCGGCGAGCGCGTCAAAGTCGTCGGCGCCGGCCCAGTCGTCGCCTTCCAGCGCCGCGTCCAGGGCGGCATCCAGCCGCGCCTCCGCGGCCGCCAGCTGGCGGGCGGCGCCCTGCATGGCGGCGGCAGCAAGGCAGGGCAGAGCAGCGTCAGGGAGGGGTGGAGGATGAGTGAGGAGAGGAGAGTGGGAATGAGGGTGCTCTCTCCTCTCCTCTGCTGCGAGCCTACAAGAAGCGGTACGCCCGCCTGGGCGAGGCTCTCACCGGCACCCCCTGCGCCGCCGCCGCCTCGGCCGCCGCCAGTGCCGCCTCCGCCTCGCGCCGCGCCAGCCAGGCCGCCGCATCGCCCGCCTCCGAGCCGTCTGGCAGGATGTCTCCCTGCGCACAGCGGGGCAGGCGGGCGGCAGGCTGGGCGATCGGGACCGCAGCGCACGGCGCGCGGGTGGCACAGCAGGCGCAGCAGCTGCTGCATGTGCAGGCCAAGTGGACAGCAGGCGCAGCAGATGCTGCATGTGCAGCCCCATTTGCCCACCCAGCCACGCATCCGCCCCACCTGCCCCTCGAACACGATGCGTCCGTTGGCGTGCACCCGGGCCACCCGCCCCACGGTGTACATGCGGCGTGCCAGGCTGGGCGGGTAGAGACGGAAGCGCTTGCGCCCCCGCAGCAGCACGTACCTGCGGCAGAGGGCGGCGGCGCAAGAGGGTGGGCGGGCAAGCCGCCTTGGGGAGGGGGGCGGGGAGGGGAGGCAGCCAGGTGGCGGCACGCTGCGCAGGCAGCGCCAGCCCTGCCGGAGCCAGCTGGGCGCAGCACATAGCCATAGCCACGCTCTCTCTGCAGTGGCACACACACACACACACACACACACACACGAGGCGACACGCCAGGCGCACACCCTCCCAGCACACACTCACAGGTTGTCATGATAGTCGCAGTGCAGGCCGCTGCTGGAGCCTGCGGGCACAGGGCGGGCCGGCCGTCAGCTGGGAGCTTGGTGCGGGCCGCTGGGCGCGCGCACACGCCAGGCGTGCCCTCTGCACACTCCCCTGTTTGTCACCCACGCAGCATGCACAGGCAGCGAGCCATGGAGCCAGCGGGCTGGCCGCTGGGCCCGCGCACCGTGGGGGGCGGTGCCCAGCCAGAGGTTGATCGACTGCGGTACCAGGCGGCCCATGAGCTGCGGCACCAGCGGTACGTCGGCAGCCAGCTGCTCCACGAGGCTGGCGTACAGCTCGGGGTGGCCGTCGGGCGCGCTGGGCACGGGCTGGGTGGTGATGTAGAGGCTCGTGTCGCCCGCCGCCATGCGGGCCAGGGCAGCAGCCAGCGTCAGCGCCACCTTGCTGGCATCGCCCTGGCCAAAGGCGTCGCCGGCGCCGCGCCGCCGCTCCACCTGCAGCTCTGCGGCGCCCTGCAGGGAGGGAGGCGAGGCAGGGGTGGGTGGGGGGCCAGGGAGGTGGGGGCTGCGGGTCCGGCTGGTCAGGTAAAGCGTCACGCGGCGTGTCTGGCGCAGCGGGCAGCGGGCGGCAGCGGGGCCTTGCGCGAGCCGGGGATCGGCCAGGGCCCTCGCACCCACCGCTTTGCTCATGAGGTATTCATCGGTCCACAGCTCCGGCAGGTGTGCCAGGTCGGGGGAGAGGGAGCCAAACAGGGCCTGCAGGGCAGCAAGGAGGCCGGCACCTTGGCTGGGGTGGGGGTAGGCGGGCGCCGCAAGCCGTCGCCGCCGCCCCATCTGCCAGGAGCGCGCGCCACCCGAGCCGGCGCTTCTAGGAATGACATGCCGGCGGGCTGACCGGCTTTCTGGGGACGACGTTGTCAGCGAAGAAGCGCTCTGCGCTGCCGACCGGAACTGGTTGCAGGGTCTGGGCGTTCTTGCGCGCCATTCATATGCAGGTCGAGCTGAAATGTGTGCCCAGAGACGCAGTGATTGCGATGTTAAGCAGCGCGCTGCAGGGTGCAGGCATGCATGGGGCGGCGCCCTGGTGGCGGCTGGTGCACCGTGGGCGGCAGCCCAACTCCGCAGGGGGGAGGCAGGCAGCCGGCACTGGCTGCCAGTCGGTCCGTGATTGTTGGCAGCAGGACACAAGGCCTTCCCTCTCACCGTACCTGCGAATGGGTTCTCCCTGCACGTGCTCGGCAAGCACTGGTGCGGCAGCAGCTTACGCCTCAAGAGGCCATCAGGCTGGCAATGCATGTAGAGTTGCCCCACATTCAACTGTGTGGGTTCTGGCAATCTGATGCACACGCCAGGCGGCCTTGCAGCGCACAGACTGCCACGCAAGGCGGTTGCCACCAGGCCGCGCCGCGGGCGGGAATGCCACGTTGGAGGCGCACCGCGTTACACATATTTGTGCCAGGGCTTGCGTCAGTCACCAGTAGCAGGACAAAGGGTGGCTTTCTGGATCCCACCTGCAACGGCATTGCTAGCAGAACCCTACCCGCCGGCAAGTGCAGCCACATGCCCGGTATTGCGTGCCGAGGGCGCTTGCATTGAGGCTGGCAATGCAAGACTCGCGCATGCAGCAAGGGAGGAAGCGGCAGCAATGCTGACAGGGCCTGCAGATGGCGTGGAGATGACCAGTCCTGAGATTGCCCCCCTAATGCAGCTTAAACGTGCACACTCTCTACCCACGCTCCCTTCTCTGTTGTTTGGGCGACCTGCCGCCCACACTCACTTCTGGAGCGCTTGTCAGGTCTCTCCCGGCGCCCCCAGCGCCCCTGTCTGCTCCCATTGCTGCCCGGCAGCACCCCAGACATCCCAGGACAGCGCTTGCAACCACGCAGCCATCGCCTCCAGACTGCCGCCCCCATGAGAGCGCTGCACTGTTGAGCCGCTGCGCCGGCACTCGAGACTGAGAGGGGCGCCATGGCGCTGGAGCGCGGTGAGTGGGCCGCCAGAGGCCTTGCAGCTGGCCTGTGAAGCTCCGGGGCTGCGCACCCCGCTGCCCCCGGCTCTCCCCCGCTTGCAGCAGCAGCAGAGCAGTCCCCCAGGGCTGGGCTGCCTGGCGGGAGTGGCACCGGAGCCCCGCACCCGGCTGCCACCCCGCTGTCCAGCGGCACTCCCGAGTATTCCCATCGCAGGCGTGCTGGTGGTCCGGCTGCTGCTGCTGCTGGCCCTGGCAGTGAGCACGGGCCATGGGGAGACGTGCCTGCCTCCCCCGGAGCCCCCATCCCCCATGGTGAGGCGCCGCCGCTGCCGGCCCGCGTCCCGTTCGGACGCGGTGTGCCTCCCCGCACGCCTCCTCGCCGCCAGCCGCCGGCCCGCTGCAGCGCTGCCCCTCTGGGAGCACCCACCTGGCAGTGCTGGCGCTGCTGCTGCCGCCGCAGGACCCCTCGCTGTCGCCTCTGGAGCTTCTGGACCTGGGTGCTGCCGCCGTGCGGTACCTCCGAGCCTTCACCACCCAGTGCTGGCTGCCGGTGCGCGCACGCCGGCCCCTGGCAGCCACCACGCACACCATGCAGCCCCGCGGGGGAGCCCAGCAGCGCGGCCGCGCGGCCGGCGCGCACGGGGCCGGGGCCGCCGCCGCCGCCGCCGCACGCCCGACCACCACCTCGCCACCGGCGCGCACGCCTCCCTGCGCTCTCTGGGCCCGCTGCGCTCAAGCCTGCGCGCGTGCCGCCGCCGGCGTGCAGGACTTCAATGCACCCATCGCCATGTTTGACAACAGCTGGGCGGTGGCGCTGGTGACCATCTGGAATGACCTCACGGTGCCCTCCAACGGACTGTGAGCACGCCGCCAGCTGGCCGCCAGCTGGCCGCCCGCGCCGCGCCAGCTGCCCCCCCGGCCTGCGCCCGCGCGCCTCGCCACGCGCCCGCACGCACACCGCCGCCGCCGCCGCCGCGGCTCCCCCGCTCCCAGCCCGCGCCTGCCGCGGCGCCGCCTGCTCGACCGGGGCGACGGGCCGGCCAAGCCCGGCGCCACATACCGGAGCAGCGCCCCTCCCTGCCTGACCCGCCCCGCCGCCCGCCCCCTCGGCCGCCACACGCGCCGCCCGGACGCAGCGGGCGCCTGGTGACGGCCATGCAGCTGCAGGCGGAGGCGTCGCTCATGATTGACGACCGCCGGCCCAGCGACGCGCTGTCGGTGCTGGAGCTGTCTGTGCTCTTCACCCTCTACCCCATGCACCACGAGGCCGAGGCGCTGGCAGCCTGGCACCGCAGCCTGGCCTCCAACGACACCCTCTTCGCCTCGTGAGCTGGCTCCAGCTGGCGCAGCTCGCCGAGCGGCCGCGGGGGCCGCGGGGGCCGTGACGCGTGCTGCCGCGCCGCCGCCGTCGTGGTTGCCGCCGCCCCCGACCCTGCCCTGCTCGCTGTGCTGCCCGCGCCGTCGCGCGCAGGCGGCGGCTGTCGCTGGCCCGGACGCTGGCGCTGATGACGAGCGCGCAGGCGGCGGTGGGAGCCACCTCCAAGAATGTGGACACGTTAGAGGCGGCCATGATTGCGGGGGGCGCAGCCGCAGAGCTGTTTGCCATCACCGGTGCGTGCGGTGGTGCGGGCGGCGGCGGCGGGACCTGCTTGTGGCGAGGGGCGCCGGGCCGCTGCCTGCCGGGGCAGGCGTGCCGCGCGGGCAGCTGGCAGGCAGTCGCGTGCCGATGTGCTGGTTGGTGGCTGCGCTGGCTGGGAGCTGTGCTGCCCCTCGCCCTGCCCTGCCCCGCGCCCACCCGCTGCGCTGCCCCCCCGCCTTGCCGCCCCCCTGCTGCCCCTGGCGCCAGCAGACGGGACGGTCGCGCCGCCCATGCCGCCGCCGCCCGTGCCGCTGGCGTCCAAGCGCGAGGGCGCGGCGGCGGTGACCCCCGAGGGCCTGCAGCGCACGCTGGCGGAGGTTGCTCGCAACACGGCGCGGGCGCTGCAGGAGGCCAAGGCGGAAGAGCTGGAGCGGCTGCTAGGTGAGGCGCGGCGGCATGGCTGGGCTGGGCTGGGGCTGGGCTGGGCTGGGAGCGGGCTGGGAGCGGGCTGGGAGCGGGCGGCGGCGGACTCGAGCCGCACCTCAGCGCGCGCAGCTGCCCTGACCGCGCGCCGTGCCGCCGTGCCGCTGCCCCCCGGCGCAGGCAAGCGCGGGCTCAAGTGCCGCTGGAACTGCGGCCGCCGCTCGGCGCTGCTGGAGATCCTGGTGCCCGCGCTGCGCGTGCCGCTGCAGCTGGTGGAGGGCGAGGGCGGGGGCGGGGCGCAGGTGGAGGTGCAGCCCGAC